TTCATTTTGCGCCGGAGGTCTCCTTTAAGTACAGCATTCACATCTGACCTTCCCACCAGGTCTAGAGCTATGGTACAATTGTTCTGGGCAATCAGACAACAGACCACTTTATGGCACTAAAGTATCAGCATGGTGTTAAAAATTTGCCGATATATGACAAGACCAAATACTACACATTTTAGTTAATCTTTGTTCATTAATATGAAGATGTATGCTTACAAGACCAGTTGCGTAATTTAAGGATATCCGATATAGACCTACCATCTTATTTGCATTGAATGGGTTCACAAGGTCTATTTCTGGTTTTGTGGGTTTGTTAAAGTGATCAGAATGTTTATTTGTGCATCACTTTGGTTAATGTTCACATAGCAGATATTAGTTATCAGTAGGGAAGATTGACTAATGGATGGTTGTCGTACTGATAGCAGATCACCTTTACCTGAGGCTCCTTCGCCAGCTGGAGTGGCCCAGGTCAGTATCGCTCTGTGTTTGTACACAAACACAACTTCTGTAAACGGAGGTGGTCCGGGGTCAGGTCCTCAGGGTCCCGGGAACAGTGGGAGTGTGTTATGGCTGATTCCACCTGTTGTCAATTGGTAATATATCAAGTCATTTGTTAAATTTGTTTACTTGTTGAATTTTTTGAAGAGAATCTGGTCCAGTACTTTAAAATAAAGTGAAATTAGAACTGTCAAGCTCCAAACTGACAATTTTGACTTTTTTGGAGCCATACGGTATAGATCATTATTCACTTATCGGGTTCATATGATTTTGTGTACAAATAATTCAATTGAGCTAGATCTTTTCAATGAAGCTGTTTGACTCTTAACGCCATTTTCAGAGAACTTATGGAACTTTCGCCTCCTTTTTCAAGGTTGAAAGCTTCATTTTTTACGATAATTGCATAATTGAAAGGCATTATTTTAAACGTCTCTTCTTTTTTTGGAATGACATGAGTGTGAGTGAGCTAAGCCGCCATCTCAAGTGTGATGTGTGATTCCCAAGGTAAACCGTAAACTTAACTGTAGCCTCTTGACACAGTGACACGTAAGTGTTCTTTCTGGATCAGAACCTTCTGTTGACCCTGTGACGCCACAAATGTACCTGCTTCCCAAACTAAAGCGCGAGTTCACAGAGGTCCATTTCCATATACACAGGCCACCCTTCCCTTTTCCATATGACTACATTAGGAATACGAGAGCCTGAAGACTATGAATAGACCAGTGGACCCTGCTGTTCACAGGGGACTCAGGTTCAGTGAGGTGGGAGTTTGTGTGAGCTTGCACACATTGCCTCCTGTCTCTCCAAGGTGGCCTGGGAGCTGGCCAGACGTCTATGTCACTTCAGAAAGGAGGTTGGGAGAGGCAGCTCAGGCTGATCATTTGTCTTTATGGCCCCAAATCACCTTTAACCCTTTGACAGGGTGACTGACCCTAGATAGTCTGTTTCTAAGTGAGCAAAAAGGCTGTCTGGTTAGGATGACCATGTTGGCTTCTTTACTGTTTGTGTGTATATACTGTATATACTTCCTAGATCTCATTCACATTTCTTTACATGTTATTTTGGCTTACTTGATTTAGCTTTCAGCTACTAATAAGACTGTATTTAATGTATTTCATCATATTTAAATACAGAAATTGTGAAAATGGACTATAGAGAAAAGCTCTATTGAAGAAAACGTCTGACATCCATTTTTAACAAACATGCTCATCTCTTTGCCTGAGACTTGTTCACAGAACATGATAAGCTGCCCCATGAGAATTGAATATTTTCTGTTTCATTTTTTTTCATTACCGCTGCTTATGCAGCTTTGAGACTGAAGTGAAGAGGAAAATGCTTTAACAGTTTGCGTCTGATGTGAGGCTGTAGGCCCCTGGCAGCCGGCTTTCATAAATGTATTGCATATGTGGGGGCCACTTTGAGGCTGTCTGGGGATGAAACGGTTAAAATTGACATGGGGTGGCAAAGGGGCTGTGGTTGGTCTCAAATCTTTTTAGTGTGCTGCGGTGGACGAGTTCTCCCACAATTTGCCCAGAGCGCTCCCCTCCTCTGTCCGAGAGAGAGAGAGAGAGAAAGGAAATCTGTGTCTAACCCAAAGAATGTCTTTTGAAATGCACATGCTCCTTTTTTTTTACACCCTGTGAGCACTTTGTTTCCTTAACATTTCTACAGATTTGGCCTGCATTCTTGTGATTTACTACCACAATCATTACTTTTAATGGTGGAAAACATATTGCATCTTCAAAATAAATCAAAGACAATAAAGCAAAGACAATATAAACCTTGACTTTTTTTTAATGCATTTAAAGTTTTAACATAATAAATGCTTTGGCAATGGGAAGCTTTTTGCCATTCTTGAATCTGGAATCTGAGTGAAGTGCATTTTGCACAATATGTATACATTCAAGTCATATGTCTCCTTGTTCTGACAAAAGTTTCAAGTTTGCCGTAATCGATCTTGGTAGTACTTTGGGCAGTAATTTGTGGCTGGGGCTATTGATCGTATTCGTTTCATTCGCTGGCGGTCCTGACGCCGCTCTGTCTGCGGGGGAGTGGTCTGAAATTCCTCTTCTCCACCTTCTTTGGGGGTCTGAGAGCTGTTTTTTATGAATGAACTGAATACCAACTACAAATTAACCAGTCTCTTTCACAAGAAAAGCACTCCTTCTGTGTCCAGCTCTACAAACATGCTTTTTTTTTCAGTGTAATGACAAAGAGCATGCAGTGAGGAATAATATAAAAATGCAGTAGTGTAAAAATAAGCACCCAGATGTTGACGTATTACATAAAACACAGAATCATGGATCAAATTAATCAAATTAGTAAGAATCTTCACTCAGTATAATATATAACCCTATAAAAGTGCATTAATGTTAAACGCACACTCATTAGTGCATTGCATTAATGACAAAAAAGTAGGCCTATGTCTGAGATGACGACAACGGATGAATCGAATTAAATCATTGCATTTTACATTTTATATAATATTTAAAGATTTTTAAATTAGCCTATTGTTTAATTTTAAAACAATTTATGACAAGTCTGTGATATCGATATCGGTGTCTATGTATGATGTTCTTGTCACATGACAACAAAATGGCTTCCTGTGTAATTGACCCTCACAGACTTTGATTTGGCAGACAAGGGTTAAAATCTGATATTAGCATTTTAATATATTTGAATAAAAGTGCTGCACTGCTTTTTAATGAACATTTCTTAAACATTTTTAAGCTTTAATTCCCATAAAAATCAAATAACTGTAATTAAAAGACGTCATAGATAATTCAAGTCATTGACCTATAAAACACACATTTTATTTAGGCTATATATTTTATGGTGTACTTTTTAATTTTCTCCCATTATGTTTTTTTGTGCAGCTCTTGGAGTTCAAGTTCCCCCAGCTCTTGGTTCTAAAGCCCATCTCTGACACAATTGTATTCAGTTGGAGAGGGTTGGGAGGACTTTGCCATTCCCCCCTGTTTGTCGAGCAGGCTCGGTCAGATCGTGGGAAAGGCCCTCCACGTAAAGCAGTTTATTCTTTGTCACTGTTGTTCTTGTGTAATTGATCTCACTCCACGTCGATGGGCGGAAGACTTCAAAGACACGCGGCTGTTGGAGGTCGATCTGCTTGTGCTCGCGGCCTTCAGGAACAAAAAACAACTGCCTTTCTCTTACACACACTTTTGATGAGTGTGTAAAGTTGCAGAAAGTGGCCTACATGGTCATAGTATGCACGTGAGGCGTGACGTGAACGCCAAAATTATAGCTACGTGCTATTAACAATAAATTGCATTTTTAATGACATTAATGGATAGGCTACTCACAAACAAAAAGTTTTACTTGAATGGTTTTCATAACGTTCGAAAAAAAAAATACCGATGACTCTTATAAGGCGTTTTTTTTTTTTTTTTTTTTTTTTTTTTTTTTGGTGAATTAAAATCATGCAGTGCCACTATACTCCTCATGATTACGAACCGTTTTGTTTTGTTTTTGTAAGCAACAAAAATTTAAAAAAACTTTAAACAGCGCGAACGGCCAGTGCTGTGCGTTTCCCAAGCTAAAAATGTTAGCTTTAATGAATTTTTTTTTTATGAATTCTTATTATTGTTGCCAAAGAAAGATATGGGGAAAATATTAAGAATGCAGACTGCAGTTCCGAATTCAGCATCTTATGTGGCCGTTCTGTCTAAATCCAAACACCAATCAGCAGGGACCCGGCTATTAGCGTATTACATATTCTCACTTATCGAATTGCAACTCATGTTATTTTTTTCATGCCATAGATCAAAAACTATTTTTTTTTCTTTTCTTGTATTTGATTTCAGTTGCAATTATAGGCCTATATATATATATTAGGCCTATAGTAAAATGTATACAAATTAATCAATAGGCTAGATAAAATGCCACATTTTTTGGTTTTAATATTGCAATTTGTATCGCAATTATACAACCTCTAAAATCGGAACTGAGATTTTGAAATCTGATCTTGTCAGTGCAGCAGTTAATGCTACTAAACTTTTTCTTTAAATTTTTTTTTTCTACTAAACCCCTTTCTACACTTTAAAAAAATAGCCTATTTATTCCGGGGGAAAAATAGCCTACAGAAAGAACCACTAACAGATTATTTAGAGAATCGGAGCACATGATAAGTTCATGTCAGCTATATGGATTACATTTCTTTAACCAAACAAACAAATAAACGGCGTTGAACTATGCTGTGTCTTTAAACTTTCTGGAGTGTAGCCAGTAACATGAATGGTGCTGGACACGTGAGTTTGTCTCAATGTGGTCTCTCCTCTTAGTATTTCTCATGTTTTCTCTGGCTGTTGTCCAATTCTTTTCTCTCTCTTTCTCTCTCTCTTTTTTTGCGCCTTTCGTTCCCCCTCCCTCCTCGTGTTATCCACCCACGGGAAAAGTGATTTTCGCCCCACTCTCTCTCTCTCTCCTTTTTTTTTTTTTTTTTTTAAATGTATATACCTCATCCTCATCCACAGTCTCTGTACACTTATTTCCGTGTGGGCAGCCGGGATGCATTTAAAATGCCCCCATGTTTATTTAAACCAATCCGCGTAGAAAGTCTTTCCCCGCAAATTCTTGAATCCGCAGTAGCGTGGATCTGACAGTGCACTGTCACAATTTCCCTCTGCGAATGTCTCGCTCAAATTGCAATCGATCACTGGGCTTATTTTATTACTAAAGCCACCCCCACTTAATTCTACAGAGGAGATTTTTTCTCCCTGTGTTTGTGTGTGTGAGCCAAATTCTCAACCAAGAGGCAGCACGTGCTTCTCACAATACCGCACTTTTAATTTACATTTTGCATACCCTTCATGAGCGCACCGGTTTTAATCGCATCGTTTTTGATAAGCGCGCACTGCTGAGCGCGAGACACTGACTGACCGGCGGAGAGCTCGTGCTGCAGGAACAGAAGGTGCGCGAGACTCTGTTTGGAACTCACACACACACGATGAGCGCGCGCGGCGAGGAAGCTGCCGGCGAAGCTTCAGGATCGCAGGAGCAGCTCGAGCCCGAACCCGAGCCCGCCCCGGCCGAGCCAAAGAAGAGGGGACCGGGCAGACCCAGGAAGCCGCAACAGGTCAGTGTGTGACTCGTATCTCTTCCACCATAAGCACTTTTAATATTCTAAATTGGGAATGGACGTGTTGTTTAAACTTTGCTGGACTGCTCAATAAAGTAACCATAGCCTATTACTCCTCGCGCGCACTTTATGGCTCTTATATTTACATGCTCCCCTGCTGCAAAAACAGCTTTAAAACCAGACTACGCTGGTATTTTGGTCTGGTTGCAGGTTTTAAGGGGAATTTGGAAACTTTTGGGTGACCAGCTTAGCCAGGTTGGGAGACCAGCAAACCAATTTAGTTTGGTTTGGAATGTTTGTTTGTTTTCAGCACTATTATATTCTTAATATTTGTATTAGATTTCATTTATCCAGCTATATCTCAGTTTGTGTAGGCTACTGTATTGTACTGCTTAAAGCAATGCATATCTGTACTTTTGCACATTTGTACATGTACACTCTCTCTCGTGTTTATTTAGGTAGTTATAAGAAGGACTTAACTTTAAGTCATAACTTTTTTAATTCAACAGTATTATTTTATTTTCACTGTTAACAATACTTTAACATTCACTTGATTTTAAATGACATTTTTCTTTAAATAAAGGATGAATTAGAAAACATTTATTTAAAATAGTTTTGATGAATTAAAGCATGGCACACTGATGGACCCAGCTGTCACTGCTTTAAACATGATGTCAGCTACCCACTTTGTAGACTGTGTTTTAAGACAAAAGTATCAAGTTTGTGTGCTTGTTTTGCATTTTCGGTTTGAATTTATTTTGTGAAGAATACATGCAGACTGAATGTATAGCTTGTGAATTAGGTTTATTGAAGGAGTTGCACTTGTTTACATTTGTACAGTACACACTTCTCTCTATCAGATAGCATTCTGAATCAGTATTATCAGCAAACCAGTGGACCAAATTTTGCACAAGCATCTATCTGAATTTCAAAACATAATTACTAAATTATATTGTTCAAAACATGACAATATATTAAAAACCTAGGTTGTATTGTGTATCTGTCAAAAGTTTGGAAACATTACAAGTCTCTTATGCTCACCAAGGCTGCATTTATTTAATCAGAAAAAAACCCTCAAAATTATGGAATATTATTACAATTTAAAATAATTGTTTTCTATTTTAATACATTTTAAAATATAATTTATTCTGTGATGGCAAAGCTTAATTTTCAGCATTATTACTCCAGTTTTCAGTGTCACATGATCCTTCAGGAATCATTATAATATACTGATTTGCTGCTCATGAAATATTTATTATTATCATCATCAAGGTTGAGAACAGTTGTTGCTTTTTGTATGGAACCATTCAATCAAGGTAAGATTAAAAAAGAGAGATACTTTTATTCATTATGGTTGCATTGAATGGATCAAAAGTGACAGTTAAGACATTTATAATGCAAAAAAAAAATTCTATTTAATACATGCTTCAATAAATTTAATCAATACGTTTAATAAATGCTTGTTATTGAACTTTCTATTCATCAAATAATCCTAGGAAAAATAGAAAAAAAATCCTTAGAAAAAAATAAGAAATGTTATGAAATGTAAGGTTTCCAAACTTTTGACATGTACTCTGTGTGTGTGTGTGTGTGTGTGTGTGTCTATATATATATATATATATATATATAAGCTGATTTAAATGTATATGTTGATGTGTGCACTGTGCAGTGGTTGGTTACTATAACAACAAGCATGTAATTAAAATGTAGTGTTATTGAACTGAACATCAAACTGTTTAGTCATGACCACATCCATCTAAATTCTTGTTTTGAGTGTTTGTGGTTAGAGGATGTGATTCACTATCTTAAGCAATTCACCGGTGACTCTCTGCAATACCTCTAATGGCAAGTAGTCATCAGGATGAGCTGGCAAGTGGGGTTAAAAATACTCAATCAGTCACCAAATACACAGATTTTTGGCATGTAAAGATGTTGCATGCAAGTAAAAAAAAATGTAAATTCTAAAATCTTGTGTAGTAACGGTGCTGTTGTTAATTCACTATTAAAAAAAGTCGCTTTATAGTTAATATAATCCATATATGCAGGCAAATATAAGTGAAACTATTTCAAAGAAGACTGTTAATCACATAAATATTTACAAAGCTAAAAAGTTGTATTGCAAAAAATATCTTTTTAATAATGTTTTGTTGTCTGTCCAGAAATAAAGTTGCCCTTAGTTGTTTTCCCTGTGTGCCTAGTACTATAGACACACAAAACCTTGTCCGCTTTGGTCTTGACTCATAAAGTACAAGTGAATGGGGAGACCACCAGTAAATGTGCGTATGCTTGAAAGGAACCCTATCTTCTTTGAGAGGGGGGCAGTGCATCAGGGTATTCAGTCTCAGAAAAGGATTTAGACATTTCAAATGTATGAATTTCTGTGGCACCTGCACTATTTTTACAATCACTTAAAAGCATTTTTAGTTGATGTATGAAGTCAGTTGTCACAGCAGAGTAGCCTCAGGTGTAATTCATCACATTACCTATGGACCTGATCCACTTGCGTTTGACAACCAGAAAGTGTCCAGATATGTTTGGTGTCATTTTGAGCAATATATTTATGATGTCATCAACTGAAACCTTTAAAATTGGCTTGAATAGTATGCTTGTGCTTCCTTCCAAATAAATGGCACTTGGTTTGCTGATAGAAAATGGAGCGGCAGTAGCCCATGGCTTTGTTTCCTGTCCTCATGGCCTAAGTTCACCTGCTCTCCTCTTCAGGAACCTACAGGAGAGCCTGTCCCCAAACGACCGAGGGGACGCCCCAAAGGAAGCAAGAACAAGGGCCCCTCCAAAGCAGCGCAGAAGGTGAGAACCAGGAAACTTTCTGAATACCTCAACAGTCACAAATCTATCCATCTATCCATCTATCCATCTATCCATTATCTATCTATCTATCTATCTATCTATCTATCTATCTATCTATCTATCTATCTATCTATCTATCTATCTATCTATCTATCTATCTATCTATCTATCTATCTATCTATCTATCTATCTATCTATCTATCTATCTATCCTTCCATTTTTATGAATCATTTATCACGAATGATGTGAACGATGTGAAATGTCAACATCCGGGGTGTGTGAATGTCGAGGGCTCCCTTCTTGATGTCTCAATCATAACGCCTCAGTGTTGCCTATGTGAATGGACCGCAGTGACCCGAACTCCTTTGCTGTGTGTTTCAGCAGAGTAGTTAACACTAAGCTCCAGTAATGTGGCAGGGGGAGTCCTGCTGACCTACACACCTACTTACTCTCTCTCTCGCTCTCGCCTTAGGCAAATGACCAGGCATACGTGAGAGAACCACAAACATGCAGGCGTGCATGAAGCGTATACTCTGCGCAGGGAGTATAGAGCATGCACTGTTGCATATTGCCAAACGAACTCTGTTCCCATTCCTTACTAATGCCCGTGTAAACAGAAAAGCACATACGATTTAGTTGTGAGTGTCAGCGTTTGTATTTGCTGAATTCTGTTTTAAGTATTGGGAATGCCTTTAAAGAGGGATTCTTCTGGTGAGCATTTTGTAATGAAGTCATTAACATTTCAGCCTCTCTTGTGTGTGTGGTCTAGTCTGGCATGTGTTTGTGGGAAGTGCCCTCAACTGTCAGTGCGTTTGGTTTTTAAAAGCATTACGATGTTATTCTCGTCCCGAGACGTTGAGGGGAGCTGAATTACACTCTAAAAAATGCTGGGTTGTTTTAACCCAACTTTGGGTCAAATATGGACTAACCCAGCCGTTGGGTTAAATTTTTACATTACATTTTTAACCCAACATTTTGGGTTTGTCCATATTTGACCCAAAATTGGGTTAAAACAACCCAGCATTTTTTAGAGTGTAGTCTGCGTTAATAACTCAGTGACAGCTCTGACCACTCTCTTTTCACAGTAATGTACCACTGTAAACAGTCATTGGCCCACTTTGAAAAGCTTGAGCAATTTTCTGCTAGTGTAATACTATTTCGCTTTTTTATGATAAACAGTGGACTGAATAATCTACCGAGATGAAAGGAGACAAAATCGGCAAGGTGCCTCACTAGAGACACTACTCAAAAGATTTACTCTCCCACCCCAAATCAGTCATCTTCTGTGTCTCCTAACACTTTCCTCGATTTAAAGGCTCCGACTGACTCCAAACTGATGCTGTACTTGCTGAAACAGTGGACGTAACAGTCGGTCAGGGCAGGGGTGCGTTTCCCGAAAGCATCGTTAGCCAACTATGATCGCAAGTTCGTATCAGCTTAGTTCATTGAGTCGGTGTTTCCCGAAACAATCGTTCCAACGAACATTCCCAAACAGCATCGCAAAGTTGTGTGGTTTGAACAACAGCTCTCGACCTGTAGTTAGAAGCATAGTTTCTATATTGCATGACATTTGGACGTAATAAATCCTTATCTTGAGCAAAATAAGCAAGCTGACATTCAGTACAACCGGTGCCTTTTATTTAGAATACATACCAATGTAATTTACGTCTTTTAAAGTACCGATTTTGAAGAGTGCGCATGTGCGAACGTGCTCTACTATGTAAGAACGAGCCAAATATTGAGTCTGGTAATGAAACAAAATAACTGAGAACAATTAGAAATAGTCCTCAGATGACATGTCTGTAATTTATATATAAAAAATCTAGCGTTAATTGAATCTCAAACAGTTTCATTGAAAGTAGTTATTACTCCACCACGTGCGAAACCAACGTGGTTGAAGATACTTTGCGACAATGGGTTTCGACAAACAGTCGTGTCTAGCTAGTTGATTTCTCCAACGATGCATCGCACTATGATAGTTAAGCAGTGAACTACATAGTTGTATGGCAAGCGCACCCCAGATTGAGATAGATAGATAGATAGATAGATAGATAGATAGAGAATGTCTTGAGACAATGCAACAAATAAACAACCTCCAGGTTCATGAAATGTAGCTGTCAATAAATAATGCAATTTAATTTGCACATTAAAGATTCTGATATTGTCAGCTCTTAATTGCTCTAAAGAACCCAGAGAAGTGGGATCATATTAACATTCCAGGTTGAACAGGCCATGTTATACCTAGATGGTACACAGTTTTAACTGTCAAGACATATAACCAGACCATTTCCGGCCCGCTATGATCATTTTGCTCAATTCATTGGCCCGAATGACTAGCCGGAATATTTTCCGTTGACCAGACATTGTTAGAACTTGATACGGGGTACCAGGGGGCTAATTTTAAACTCTCCATTCGCAAAAGTGGGTTTGGCAGAAGCGAGACTGCCCCTCCCTTTCCATTAATGAGAGATGGCCTTGTCCCTGGCCTCACACGCATGCCAGGATGTCCTGGTGTCGAAGAGTCGAGTGAGCGCCCGGGCTCGTGTCTGCTGTGGACACGGGACATGGCTGGACGAGATACGCAAACACAGACATGATTAATTGATTAGGGTGTCGACTTGCAGACCATTAAAACTCCTGATTAAAAATGCAGCATCCCCAACAGAGGACTGAAGGTAGGGAGACACTGATTGGTCCGAGAAAGACGCAGACAAGGAGAGGAGAGGTTAAAGGGTTTGTGTCTTTGAGAATTTGCAAGTCTTTGCAATTCATTATAGGCACAGCAATATAATATTTCCACTCCTTTTCAATCCCATAAACATCTGTGGAAGTGTGTAGGACACAAAATTCTGAAGCTAACCGCTGACCCGTAGCTGCCTCTGTGTCCTTTCTTAGTGACTGGCTGTGGCGTGAACTACGACTCTCAGGTTTTTTGTTTCTCCAGTCCATCATGCCTTTGCAGAACGGTAAAGTGTCCTTTGGGTATTCAAAACAAACTCTGCTTGTTGGAGAAGTAGTAATGTGAGCCTTGACAATGCCTGCATACTTCGTCAGGGCAAACAGACTGACCCAAACAGGACTAAACACATCACACAGAACACAACAGACAGAGATGCATTGTAAAAGCCTTTGTTGAAGTATTCCAACTATGTATGAGAGTTTGGGTTTTAAAGGCATAGTTCGCCAAAAAAGAAAATTCTGTCATCATTTGCTCACCCTCATGTCTTTCCAAACCCATATGAGAGACTTTCTTTTTTTTACGATCAGAAAAAAATGTACCCTTATAGGATTGCAACAGCTTGTCACTGCAGTACCCTTAAAGGGACAACTTTGTACTTTATCTACTCCTAAAAGAGGCATATTTTATCTTATAGTAGTTATATGTACACCTAAGGTACTGCCACGAACGTTATTGGGGTAAATAAGGAAGGAACTTGTCCCTTTAAGGGTACTGCCCAAGTGTCAATCTCTTGTAGCCTTAAAGCACGTTTTTTTTACACAAAAGATACATTTTTGAAGAATATAATGAAAGAGGAAGCGGGTCTGTGAATCTTTTGTTCAGAATTTAGCCAAAATGGCTTGATTGCGATATTTCAAGTCTTCTGAAGCCATGTAGACACAAAATGTAAGGAATTTCCTGAAATTCTGGATATCTTCCCTAGCTTAGTACATTTTTGAGAGTAGCATGTTGTCCGATTCATGAAATAAATAATTTTATTGAATTTGATCAAATTCATCATTGTATTAGTATTATTACCTACTCTTATAGTATTTATTAATAAAAAAGAGTTATAAATAATTATTTTTGAATTACCCTTTATTTTTATTTTTTCAGTTTCGATTTTAAATTTAGTTTAAGTTTTACTGATTTTGGTGTGAATTTTATTGGTGTGACTGCTATTTCGATTTAATTTATTTTAATCTATTTGTTTTAGTTTTTGTAATTTTCACTGTATATGATCAATAAGTTATGACAACATATGAAGAGTTCAGATGCAAAAGCCTCTAAGTGCCATTTGAAATTTTCTTCTAGAATGATAATTTTTATCAAGCTTGTATATTTAAGTTCAGTGATTTCACTTAAATAGCAATGATAATTACCTATTAATTGTTATTTAAGTGAAATTACTGAACTTAAATATACAAGTTTGACAAAAAATCATCATTAAAGAAGAAAATTTCAAATGGCATTTAGAGGCTTTTGCATCTGAACTCTTCAAATGTACTTACATTGCTTTAACTCATCAAAATAAGTTAAGCAATTTCCAACTTTTTAATAAGTTATACACGATTCAACTCATTTTTAAGTCAGTTCAATGTAATTTAAGTTGAAATTACTTAAAGACCCAAGTTGATTGTATTTATCAAGTATTATAATTTTTTTTTACAGTGAGTACTTCAACCTAAAATCACTTATTTCAGTTAGTTACAAGGCGACCTTACTAATATAAGTTTTCATCTAATATTTAATTTTAATTATCGAAAACAACAAAACCAACCCTAACTGAATGAATTTAGCTGAATTTTATGATACAAACTGATTATTAGCTCATTTTTTAAATTATGTCAGCTACACATTTATGGAGACAGAGATGCATACTCTACCAGCATTGATTTGTATCTCACACGTTTGGATGTGCTCTGCCGACAAACATGATACATTTGACACCTACCTTTCCTGGTTCATTCGCAGAATTCATAGATGTTTGATGATTTGAGTAAGGTTTCCCGCAGGGCTCTGCATGACAAAAGCCCACGGCCAGAAGAAAACTTTATATCCTATAAATAATGAAGACGTGTCTTGTCTTGTTAATTGCCTTCGACCATGGCAGGAAGGCACCATCATTCAGACCCTCAGGGAAAGACTCTCCTGCTTCCACCTGTCAAATTATTTCACTTACAATTTCAGAGGGCGATAGAATTGTTGCTTAAACAACACAAAATGTCTGTGGGAAATCCCATGCTGGTCTTCTTCCAAAGTCAGCCAGCCAATTTACTGTTAAACTTCATTGTGTTGCAAGACTTTTTGGATATCTAAAGACATTTTCCCGTGAGGTGTTTTATTTTTACAGTGTTTCAATGGACCCCTGTTATTAAGTTGGAGCCGCTGTGATTGAAACCCCATAACTGTCTTTCATGGCCCTTATCTGGGTGGGTTTGCTGATAATGGTGCTCTTATTTACACTTGAATGGCATAAAATTCCTCTAGTGAAATATTACGCTGCACAGACCAGGAACTTGGGCAATGGAGACAGTTCATTGTTGGAGGCCCGGATACACCTTACAAACTCTTTATGTATTAAAAGCATTAGAGGAAATGAAACCCTTACATTTCACCTTCTCCTTTTGTGGCCATATATGAAAATGACTCTGCTTGTGACAAATTGTGTGCCTGAAAAATTTGTTTAAAGCACTTGATGAAATACCGGCCACTAATTCATGGTTGTTGGCATTTGCAGAAAGCTGAGACCACAGGGGAGAAAAGACCTAGAGGAAGACCCAGAAAATGGGTGAGTTTGTTTACATTAGTTGTATATAACTAGACACATCCATTGCAGCATGATCCCATATACTTTTCAAAACTGTCGATGCATATTTATTAGCATTGCTTTTCAGTGTATCACAAAAAGGAAAATTATATTTTGAATCATGTTTCTTTTTCCATTATATTTAAAGAGACATAATGCAAAAATTAAATTCATTTACATTATGATCAAACAACTGATCATTTATGGAGCACCTTTTTAAGTTGCCTATTTGAGCAGTCTTGAATGTATTAATGATACCCACATACAAACATGAATGTAATATCACACAAATATTTTAATTGATCAACACTGTTGTAGAAAAGCATGACTATATTCATTTTTCGAAAACACACAGTTATGTACATATTACTCAAACACTTATTCAGTTGATCGCCAATGTGCAACAGGCAATTTAATTTTTAATTCAGTTAACCCAATAATCCTCTGATAACCTGAATTTTGCGGCGTTTATCAGCCTGCAAATGACACGTTTGATTTATAGCTGGAGAAGCAAAGCGGCAGGCAGTTAAAAGTGCCACCAGGAAAACTGCAGGGAGATATGGAGAGAATGAACCCTTTGTGGCATGCCGACTTTGTGTCCGTATGGATTTTTCTCAGGCAGACAGGAAAAGCAAAGCATTCTGAGGCCCCTAGACTTACATTTAAAAGTGTGTCCCATCTGATTTCTCTATACGATTTTAGGAAAGTGACAGGCTGAAATGATTGGTTCAATACAGAAATAAGTACATTTGTATTGGAGGAAAACATGCCCCATCTGACTCTATCATCCAGGAATGCGATTTGAGTCACTTGTGAGCCGAGCTGTTCCAAAACACCCTTTACCTCCAGGTTTCGGCTGAGCCCCTATAGCTTACATGCTAAAGTTAAAGGGATAGTTCACCCAAAAATGAAAATGCTGTCAGTATTTACTCACCCTCATGTTGTTCCAACCCCGTAAGGCCTTTGTTCATCTTCGGAACATGTATTAAGATATTTTTGATGAAATCTGAGAGCTGGATCACTCCTCCATACTAGTCCATAGGCTTCTTGAGGGATTGAAACTTACCGTCCTCGAAACGTTATTAAAGACATCGTTAAAATAGTGACTACAGTGGCTCAATCTTAAGTTTATCAAACGACTAGAACACTTTTTGTGCACAAAAAAAAATAAATAAATAAAATAACGACTTTATTTCAACTATTCATTTCCTTCTCTCTGGGCGATCTGTTGTACGTCACACGCATCACACACATGACCAGCGTCGGCCAATAGTGAGCCTACGTGTGACGTTTAACTGACTAGAGGCGCAAAGAGCAGGAAATTAATAGTTGAAATAAAGTTGTTTGTTTTTGCGCACAAAAAGTGTTCTTGTCGCTTGATAAAGTTAAGATTGAGCCACTGTAGTCACTTGGACTATTTTAACAATGTCTTTAATAACTTTTCGAGGCCAGCAAGTTTCAATCCCTCAAGAAGCCTATGGACTAGTATGGAGGAGTGATCCAGCTCTCAGATTTCATCAAAAATATCTTAATTCGTGTTCCGAAGATGAACGAAGGTCTTACGGGGTTGGAACAGCATGAGGGTGAGTAAATACTGCCAGAATTTTCATTTTTGGGTGAACTATCCCTTTAAGCTTTTACTCCCCACAATCGGACAAATTTAGGACAGAAACTTAAACTTTATGAGACACACAAAGGGTTAGATAGGTTAGAGAATGAGGGCAGTCTTAAAGGAGCATCTCTAGAATGCAAGAGCCTTGCTCATGGACACAACAAATTTTTTTTGGACTTTATTCTACTTTTATTTATATGTGGACAGTGAAATAGGGGGCAGAAATGTTTTGTAGGTCATCTATAGATTATCTAGATTTTAATCTATATCTTTTTTTTTCACCATAGTGCTGCATATGTCCATGAGAGAAAATGACAGAAAGGCAACTTTCAAAAGTTCATTTTAAAAATATGTTTTACACATCCCTAATATTACCTTATATAATTTCACTGGTGTTATTTAAATTGCTGCAAACAAACCGTAAACGGCATTTTACTTCATGACAACTATTTACTACAACATGATCTAGAAGTGTCATTTTAAATGAGTTTGAGAGATAGAGGGTTTGAACAGCTGAACTCTTTGGACTGAACTGATAAAGTTTACTTTTATTGCCCTGTTTCCTTTGTACCGATTGCCGAAGGTGCGTTCGGCTGCTCTTTCATGATGGCAACGTGATGCAGTTACACACTCCCACACAAACTCACACACGCTTGATCCACCCACTCACTGATGTCAGTTAGCCTTAGACAAGTAAATAATGGAGCAATATACTGTACTTTGTAGATGCTAAGTTGACTTTGTAAATGTTTTTTCTCACAGAAAGAGGAAAGAGTATGTTTTTCCCTTTTATTATAAATATTCAACACAATGAAATTGATAGTACTTGTAAAGTGATTGTTTAAAATTATAATAATCACATTACTAGATTTTTTTGTCTTGGCTGCAGAGGACATGAACCAGTTATCCACTAAAAATGTGTATCCTTCAATAAGAAGTTTAAGATATTGGTCCTTTTTCAGAGTACATCTTTAAAGACGTATAACCAGAAAAATAATTGTTTGTCTTCCTGATTGAAGCACAAGCTATTATGGGTCAAAGGTTAACTAGAGTTAAGCAAGGATAGCCTGTAAGAACGAGAACTTTTTTTGTACTTATATGTTCATTAAATGCTAAGATTTCTGTATTATTGTTTAATATTAAAAAAAGTAATTTTACAAAAATCTTTTTTTACAATTTTTTTTTTTTTTTTTTTTTTTTTTACAATTTTCTTTTCCCCCCCAGAAAATTTAGGTCGCACTTTAGATTGGGGTAACTTAATTAGTACTTTTGCCTCAATAAACTCCTAGTTACTACTTATTTATAGTAATTTAGTAGTAGGTATTGGGTAGAATTAAGGGATGTAGAATAAAGCATTAATATGTGCTTTATAAGTACTAATAACAGCCAAATAATATGCATGTCAATAAGCAACTAGTTAATAGTGATAATTGGACCCTAAACCTAACCAGAAAGTGAACATATTTCTGCAATTAACATACTTTATACAGTCGAAAGCTTTTTTCTGTTGCACAAAGACACATGTTGCAGTTGATTTGAGTGTTACAAGCTGGTGTGAATCTGGAGGCATATTCATCAGGCTGTAGTCATTCTACAAACATCCTGAATGTGGAGTGGGCATAGTGGTATGACATCCTGTGAATGTGTCCGAGATGAACTTACGGCCAAGTGTATGAATGATAAAAGGTCATAGATGGAAAGCAGAGAGAGATAGCGCTCTGATCGAGAAAAAAAGAAAAAAAAGAACGAGCCTTGCATCTCCAGATGTGTGCCAAGGCTTTATTAAGTTCAGCCAATGCAGTCTCAGGCAGAAAAACAACATTTTTTGTCTTCCTGTCTACTTTTTTTTATGAATGGGCAATGGGAAACGTGTGTGTCTGCAGCCCTCCGTCCTCTTGTATGGGTCATTGTGTGTGGGTTATGATCTGTTTAGCATGTCACAGATGAATTAACATGCCAAGAGTCTGTGTGGCGGTCTCCACATATACAGGGTGAACTTGACAAGAGTTTTGCCATTCCTCTTCTAGATAAACAAGTCAGTTTTCTTCATTCAGCTACTGCTCGCCCTCCTGGAACTAATTATAGCATATCCTTTTTGGCTACAAGGGGCCGCAGGAATGTTTTCCTTTGGTCCCCTCCCCCAACTAAGTATCTCCACTCCCCTAAATGGTTAATAGTGGAAGGTGGCTTTGGCTGTGAGAAAAGAGAGAGAAAAAAAAATGGTTTAATCATGTTCATTCCACCGGAGACATTTAAGACTCTCACCAAGAGCTCACCAAGACCGGTTCATCCGTCTAGGGCATTCGTCAGCTTCAAAATGACCTCTGTTGAGATGGATGCGTTGAGCATCATTATATCAGACAGGAAATTCAGCAGTCAGAGAGGATGTAGAATGGTTTGGGATTCTTAAAATAACATTTCGCAGGTGGCACAGCTGCTACTTGAGGATGCTGGTTTGCTGCAAGAAAAACTGTCCTCCCCAAGTGATAAGAATAAAAGTTGTTCTTACAACCTTGAGTTGTTTATCTTGATAACAGGAATATTTATACAAAATGAATTCGTTGTTCTCAGCAGCCTGCTATGTTCAGCTCAACAGTTTTTAAACTGCATCTACTATTAAAATTGTAATAAAATATCATTTTAAATGTATGCGTTATAGTGAAGGCTGTACATTACAGCTAAATCATATTATTGATTTTTCAGCATTTTTTTATGTATTTATTCTGAAATAAAAGTTGAATGCCTTTTTTGAATAAGGTGAAGAATCAATTAATCCGAAGTATGAGTAAAATCTCAAATAACGCCAACTACGAAAAACTAGTTAAAAATAATAGACATGTATTTCTATCTTCACCTTCCTATCTATCTATCTATCTATCTATCTATCTATCTATCTATCTATCTATCTATCTATCTATCTATCTATCTATCTATCTATCTATCTATCTATCTATCTATCTATCTATCTATCTATCTATCTATCTATCTATCTATCTATCTATCTATCTATCTATCTATCTATCTATCTATCTATCCATCCATCCATCTATCCATCTATCTATCTATCCATCTATCCAATCCACCAATCTACGTATATACATATAAGATAAAATAATAAATTAGACAAAATCATTGTATACATATTCTTGATTACTGTAAAAAAAATATTGTTGGTTGAACTTAAAAAAGTAAGTAATCTGGTTGCCTTAATTTTAAGTTCATTTAAATAGAAAAAGTGAGTTAATACAATGAAGGAGAATGATTTAATCATCAGAAACTCAAAATTATATGTTATCTGAACTAAATAAATTATTTAAGATATTCTTTTACAGTGATATAGATAAGGCCTACTTTTATTTCTATCACTTTA